GCCATTCTCGTCTGGCCGGATAGTAATCCGGAGAGCTAATAACTGTATCGAATAAGGATAACCCTGGTTCGTTCCACAGAAGCAGAGGAGGGGATTCCCGTTCCTCGGACCTGAGGCCTTCTATGATCCCACGAACCAGATCTTGGGAGATAATCTGTCTCCGAGTATCGAGGATCTGTATCCGTTCGGCGTGCGAATCTTTCTCGTTTACAGGGGGTTTAGTTGGACTTAGGGAGTCTGTAGGTAGGATTGGTGTCCAGAATGGACCGTCAATATAGTTTCGTGTGGATGTGAACGCAGTGGCCATTGCTGGAGACGAGAGAGATAATGGCAAGAATTTTAAACTAGGTACAAGTTCAAGTGTAGCCAAGAGAGAGTTGTTTCTGGCAGATTGTCTAAACTAAAGAGACTAATCGGTATCCGCAACCGTAAAGTGTGTATATATAAGTTGGTACGTTTCACTAAAGAACTCAACTCCCCTATCGGCCCGGCGGTATGATAACGTCAGTTCTGTATTTTTTGTTTGTTATTCAGCAGTTGATAGCCATGCGTCGCCTTCTAGCTAATCAAAAATGACCCTAAATTGCCCAAAGCAGTTCAATGATGTTTGACTGGCCACATTTTCCCCTTCGACATCCGCTCAGCCACTTGCCATGCCACTTTCGGCATGCAGTCACTCGGTCGGAGAGTGTTTCGGTCATAGCATTCGGCGTCCCTAAGTGAAGTACATATTTCTGCCCGAGGGTGGAAAGGCTTACTCAGTCTACCTCATGATCTTGATGTATGTACTATGAGACTAGACTTATTATGAAGCGAAAACCCGATAGCTCGTCGAGTGGATGATGGTGGTAGGTGCGTAATTACACTCCTTGCTGATATCATATTCGAAAACAACTTGAACATGGCTGTCCCAGCGACCATCATTATCATTGGCTCTGGCGTTTTTGGCCGTAAGTATCCCTGCGGTGATGTGGGCTAAGCATGGAAAGGGTGACATAGGAGGTGAATCATGAACTAATGATTCAACCCAAGTTTCGACGGCCTACGCTGCAAGCCGCGACCCTAGATTCGTCAACAGCAAGATAATCCTCGTGGACCGCTGGAACTTTGAACCCGTATCCTCTACAACATCTGTCCAGAATCCTGGTGCCGCGAATGCCGACACATCCCGAGTGATTCGTCGCGACTATCCACATCCTCACGATGCTTATGCTGCCCTTGCCCTGGAGGCTTTGACACACTGGAGGGCTGAATGGGGCGAGAATGGACGCTACACGGACCAACGACTTTTGTTCGCCGCGGAGGGGTCGTCAATCGAAGGTCCCAAAAGGGACGGCGAGATTATCAACTACGTGAAGGATGCCTATGAGCTCAGTATCGACATCACACCAGGTGGCAAAGATGCCTTGAAGGTCGTCGACTCCCTCGCTGCAATTCGAGAGGAGCTTGGTCTCCCTTCGACCAAGCCCACGAACATAGACAAAGACAGCAATGCCCTGAGAGGATACATCTCGGACGATTGCGGATGGGCTAACGCAGGTGCCAGTATCGAGTACCTTAGGCAGAAGGTGGTTAAGCTTGGCCGTGTTCAGTTTGTCGTCGGCCAAGTAGGGGAATTGATCCAGTCGGAGGACAAGGCACAAGTCAAGGGCGTCAAACTTCTTGACGGCACTGAGATACTAGGTGACCTCACCATTGTCGCCGGGGGCGGTCAGTCGCCGCGCATTTTGGGGTTGAAAGATTTATGTGATGTCTACAACGACGTAGTTGCATTTATCCAGCTGACACAAGCTGAGTGTGACGAGTTGAGACGCAGAAAGTGGCCACTCATCGTGAACGTCAATCGTGGTGTCTTCGCCATTGGCCCCGACGGCGATAACTGCTTGAAGCTGGGCCATTTCTCCCACAGCGGTATCGTGGATGCCCTGAAGAGTGCCAAAATCGAACTCGGGCCACGAAAGAAGACCTTGAGCGCTGAACAGGAATGGGCCGACCCGGACTTCGGCTGGGGCGGAGATGTTCAATTGACCGAGCTCGGTGATCTGGTTGACGATGACCAAGCAAGGCTCAACAAAACCCTTGCTGACTATCGGTTGTTCCTCATCGAGCTTCTTGGGCCATCGTCGTTTGACAGCATTGACACTGTCGGAGATGTCAAGTACGACAGCGTTCTGAACAGCATCGCTGTTAGGCCGTTTACGCGGATACGGAAGTGCTGGTATACCGACCGGCCTTCTCTTGACTTCATCGTCGATTACCATCCGTCATTTGGCAAGAGTTTGTTTGTCGCAACTGGTGGAGGAGATCATGCCTTCAAGTTCCTTCCCGTGATCGGAGAGAAGATTGTGGAGCTCATATTGTATCATCAAGGTGTGAAGGCACCAGTCCTTAGGAAACTCAATCCTTCCGTCGAAGAGCTCAGTAAACTCTGGAAATTTCCATATGATTTATTGAAATAAAGACCTTTCAGACATCAGGGCGGTGAACATAGTATGTTGGGGGCTTGGAGAAACAAGCATGAAACCATAGTTATAGGAAATTCCAAAATACGATATGATTTAACATTTCTAAGTGCCATGAAGCTTAGTGAAAGATTGATAGATACTGAGACAATGTCCGTTTTGTCAGTACATGATCTCCAAGAGAAGAGTGGCCATATTGACACTCAGTACCTATTGACAGGTCATCTAACGGATATTCCGATATTCCGATATTATACCCCCGGACTATCTATGCAACGAGCTTTACCGCCCCCTAAATTCGCACTCGGATGTAAGTAACATGCTCAACTGCCGTTCGTGCCGGTCATCCCTGCGGACGCATTTGCCGCAACTCTTCTAATTATTATGGATCTTAAACTTTCGAAATAACACAAAAACAGAAAAGGATGCTTGATGGTCGGGAGCCCATAATTTGCTGACATTCCCGCATGGAGCATTATCAGTCACCAGATTATACAGGGCTGAGGGAGATTAAAAGTTCCCGTCCCATGATTCATTCCGGCACTTGATTAGTGAGACCATTTGACGATCATTGACGGGAAGAGAACGCAATGATCATTAATTTTGTGGGCTCGGAAGTGTCGGAGAACAGTCAGAGCCGTCAGATTGACTGCAACGGTCCGAGTATCCAGCCTGGCCGTGTATACGCGCGTGAACCATTGAACAGGACAGGTACCATCTCTGCCGAATGCGAGCTCTCTGCTGGGGCACGGTTATCACCCTAGGTTCTATAGGTAGTTTATGCGTTTTAAAATTGTGAAATACAGATAAGAAATGAAAACATTCAGGCACATTGCATCTTGCAAATGGTCTGCCCCCTCCTCATTCAGTGAAAACTCGGTTGTTATTCTCTCCGGAGTAACTAACTCAGCCACGCTGAGCCATGCAAATGAGGGAGAAATGATAACATCAGCATGACCTTGGGAGCGATGTATTTTTTGCTGTTGTTTTTTATTTACTTCGGCATGAATCCAACTATGTTCTCACCCTTCCCCCTCTGGTAAAATCGGCACCTAATACATGGATGGACGGCAAAGAGTTCCGCCACTATCCAATCCCCAGTTGCTTGCAGGGAGGCGGGTTCGATGCCGGAAAAGCTTGACGTAATACCCCAACCTCGTGAAGATCACATGATTGGCCTTGTCCTATGCCATGGGTGATCCATCCAGAGGAGAGGTTTATGCAGAGAAAGGAAAGAAGACAAGGTAGCGAAGGCCACCGCCGAATGATCAACATTTCACAACTGCTCCCTGTAATGTCACAACTGTCGCCGAGAGGGCATTGCTTTCTCGAAATGGGTGCTATTCTCCAAACTCATACGATTCTTACTGGACTGTTACACCAGAGTGCCTAATTCTACGACGCTGACTGCAGGTGCCGCATGTGGCACATCCTTGCGAGCGGTGGGCCGTGGAATACAATTTCCCGAATACCGTTTGCGTGATTGATCCTTTATATACACACGCTTCTACATTAGGCACGGCCGAATCCAGACCCACGGCTGTTTAGTCTCCACCAGAGCGTGCGTCTAGCAGGGAGATACCGGGACAAATCGCACGTTGGACACTGAACCGCCGTTGGGGGAGAGAGGATTCGATCCTTTGGCCTGGGCACAAAGTCCCCAGGATCTTGTATCCCCAACTTTGAGACATTGTTCCCCATGGTCAGCAATCTTCAAAGCTGAACGCATGATGACGCAAGCGTTGACGAATAGGATAATAAAGAAAAAATCCATTACACGTAGAACTTGGTGTCTTTCGTAACAGTTGAGAACTTTCTAGCTTTTTGTGAGCGCCCAAGCGCTGTAGTGACCACCCTTGATCCTGTCGAGTGGGGTGCCATGCACAGCATCTACATGAAATTGAGATGTATTATCTTTTCCCGTATTTGGAAAGTCTGGGCTGGGATAGATTCGGAGGATCTTGGACTTGGCTTTGACTGGGAGTCACCCATCCATCAGGTTCCTCCAGAGGCATTGGCCACATGGCCCGAGGACCCAGAAGGTAGCTTTGCAGTGCTGGCGTACGCAATACGCACAGAGGAGCCCTCAAGAATAACTAAAAGCTCTTTACAAGTTTCGTACAATGTCTCTTGATTTGCAGATCATTCATTAGTTTATACTTTGTTGTGCTCCCGAGTAGATTCAAGGGGGTTAGTAACTACATGATTCAATTGTATATTTGCATATGCCAAACTCCATCACCGTAGAAAGCTATATTACAACGTACTCTGCAATAGTTACGATATGTCTACTTCACAATTTATTCCAGGCATATGACTGAAATACTTGGCAGATTAATGCAATTGTACCGATCTACATCTGACGGGTGTCTCAGCAGGGGGTCTCTCAAAGGTTATAGAGCACAGAAATCCCATCTCACGGTCTCGGCCAGCTCCAATCCCAGTCGGTGCCGTAGCGGTGCCCCTCATCCCTGGAAGCTTTATATTTATCTGCCTTCCAAAGCCCATTCTAGGGTTTGAGGAACGATACTACCTTCTATGTCAACCCAGCCACTTACAAACATTGACATGGAGAACAAAAACAACAACAGGCGTGGTGCCTGTGACCGGTGCCGCGGGCAGAAGCTAAGATGTGTCGGTGCTGCAGATCCCATGGTCATTTCGGGCAGTCGCTTTCAGCGTAATCAGATTCCCTGCGAGCGTTGCAAAAGGGCCAAGGTCGACTGTTACAGCGTCAGACCTGTGTCCAGACGCCCGGGAGCCGGCTTTGACCAGAACGAGGAGCGTCAAGCCAACGGGCCTCAATCAAACGGTATTGGACCAACAACGCAACCATCACAATGCACTGCAACCAACCCTGCGGGCGTAAACCATCGACCTCCCGAGCCGATCCCAGTCGCCGAATCTCAGCAAAGATGCGACGGCACGTACCGAGATGGTCTCGATTTGAACATATCATCCATGCTGCCAACCAGCTCTGCTGAATGGGCAATGTATACACACGATGAAGACCATGATATGGATGTTCAAGACTTGGACTTGGCGACCCCGGTTTGGATGCTTGACCAACAGAGAAACACTGGCCAGAATGCTTGCTCCGATCAGTCGTACAGGGACAGCGAGCTCGATCTGACAACGAGCAGGGCCGGTTGGAAAGAATTTAATTCCAATAAAAGCGATTTCGGCACAGCAGATTACCAAGCTCGCAGCTTCGCCAATCTCTCACGGCAATCTATGTTTGAATCGAACGAATACGACCGTGCTGGGAACCATAAGCAACAAGCGCCATCAAAGCCTACCAAGACCCCCTCTGAGCCATCGACGAAAACCTATATCCAAGAATTGGCAAAGTTCAATGAAATGCTTCTCCGCGAAAAGGGATCTTACGAGGATACGGCACCCGGCCGAGGCCAGCAACGATCAGTCGGTCAAACGCTACATCATTGCCAGCATTTCTTGTCGATATTGAGGCGGCTACGCCCATCCTCTTGCAACCCCGATTCAAATGAATTTGCCTCGGAATGGTCTTATAGCACCGAAGAGGGGAGGCTAGAGGACACGCCATACGCGCCGCCTTCGTCGCGGCAAAGCACTCAGAACGACACGCCATCCACTGCATCCTCTATTGACTCTCCTCTTGAGGTTTCTACACTTTTATCAATTCTTTCTTGCTACACGTATATTCTTCAGTCGTACGAATCCTTGTTCACTCCCATCCTGGATTCTATCACGAGCTCAACACCTACAGTACCGGCTACCTTGGCCGGTCTCCACCTCGACGGGTTTGAGCTAGATGGCTACAATAGCCTCCAACTAGAATGTCTTCTGACAATCAGCCTGGGTCTATTAGAAAGAATAGACCACATCCTGACTGGCGCGCCTGGTGGGCAAACAGACCAACATCATGGCGGAGGACTCCTCAGCAACAAGCTCTTCAGTGGCTTGCTTGAAGCATTGCGTGATCAAAATGGGCCAAGTGCGTTGAAAAGTCCTGGTAATGAAAAACGAGAAGTAAAAGCAAAACGGTTGATTCGGGATATTCAAACAAGCTTGAGACGACTGGATCAATAAAATTGATTCGTATAAAAGTATCTGGGGTAGCAGCTATACAAAGACTCCACTGTCACATAGATTTGACACATTTCGATAGATTAACTTTGATTACGGCACGACTTATCATACTTTTCGTAACTATCCTAGTCCTTGATACCCCAAATTCACAAGCCGAGATCTGTGAATAAGGTTGCGGTTCAGAGTGAGGGTGTTTTCCGTATTTCCACCTTGTTGCTTGCTATATCCGGCCCCCTCCACCTCCTGGACCTCCTGGAAAACATCCTAGCAAATGGCCTATACGCCGGCACGCCGTGCCCGTAAAACTTGCTCATTTTGATCCCCATAAAACAGACTAGCAGCCGGAACAGCCCGCCCGGATACGCTGCCGGCGGCAGCAACAGCCACTATCAAAATAAAAGGGGTAGAGGGCTTCTTAGAAAAGTGACAAAGGTGCTATCCCTGGTAGTCTTCGACGGCAGGTGGTCGGGCCGGTCAGCATGGGAGGAGAGGATACCCAGGTGTCCGCGTGGCATGCGGCACACCGCGTGAGACGACACAAAGCGATTGGCTACCATCTCCCTATCTTATGCACTGCCCAAGGGCACGCAATTATACCGGGGTATGAGCTAAGTGCTCGGAACGGCCCTATGAAGTCTCCATAGTAATCTATCCCGCCGCCTTTTCGACTGGGGCTTCGGGATGGGTGGCTAGGCAGCGAGAAAACAAACAGTATGCCCGGGTCATAGAAGGTCCACCATCTCGCACGTTACTGCTTAATTGGGTGTAATACGAAGGTCTAGGGCATCGTGTTCGGAAGCATGGGATCTGACATGACCTGATTTTGATCGTTTTAGTGAGATAAGGTGCGCAAGGAATCAAGTCCGTGCAAAGGCTCCGTGCATGAGATGTACAAACACAAGCTTTTTCTTCTGTCACGCCTTTTGCTACACCCCTCCCTCCGCTGTTGCTTATTATGAGCAAGTGTCATACGGGAGTGAAGGACCACAAACCCAGTAGGAGCAGTTAACATCAAGCCTCCACACTCGTTGTGCATCTACCTTACCCTACAATCCAACAATGAAAGCAATGGAGCACACGTCCTTAGTAAACTACAAGTTTTCTAATACCGAACTAATATCTCTGAATTGAAACTGATCATATATAAGTTTTTGTCCGTTTTCAAAAAAAGAAATAGATTTTGAAGCAAATGGTTTTTGTCCTAGCTGTTCTAGGTCAGTCCGTTTAACAGGATATTCTTGATACTCTAGCTAGCAACATGATTTGAATCTAAACTAGAGGAACGAATAGCGAACCTCTTCTCTAACCTGTGTTGCAGATTCAAGTGCCTCCTCCCTGCTGTTCCTCGAAAATACATTGAAGTATGCTAAGAAACTATTGCGCCCCGAGCTAGGATGAGCAACCTTTTGCCCACGCTTGACCAGACATGCAGAACGGCTGATCTGCTTGGCGAGATCTGGTCGTCGATTCTTCAAATTGACGCAGATATCTTCGGAGTCAAAGATTCCCTTCAAATGGGCCGGGAAATCCGCGGGGATGAAAACCATGATGCATGTGTACTGGGCCCCGTGCAGGTATGGCTGTGAAAGAGCCCGAACGCGAGCCTTGTCGCCGACGGCAATGAGTAGGGCCAGGCCCCAGTAGTCAATGCCATAAGTGGACTCTATGATTTGTGAGCCTGTCATACCCAGAGGGCGCGGGTTGATCTCAATCAACCAGGCTGAAGGCTTCTTAGGTTCTCCGGGTGAATGATCGACTGGATGGAGGTCGAGAATCCCGTTTACCAGCTTATAGTCCGTGGTCGAATTCTCGACACGGCCTTCCAAATGCATGATGCCGTCTCTTAGGCCTAGTTTAAGCAATGTATTGAGGAAGCTGTCTCGGAGAAGCCTAATCTCTTGATCAGGCAGTTTCGATGGATAAACGCTATTCAATTCGTGAAAGTTGGTGACGGACCCAACTGTTGGCCCGTTGATGTCGGCTGACTTGGGCAAATCATCGCATACTTCGAAGAACAAGACTTCCCCGTCGAGCAAGACGAAGTTGACATCAACTTCAGGCCCGGAGCAGTATTTCTCGATGACGAATTCAGTGCCATGGCGGGACGTATCTATAGCTTTCACGGCAGTAGCGAGTGCGTCGAAAGAGTCAACACGAGAAACGCCTTCTGAGCTCCAGCCGTCGCAAGGCTTGACAATAAGGGGATATGGGAGCTCATGCTTCGTCGCAACCTCCAACGCTTCCTCAAGGCTCGAAGCCCTGAAAGCTTCATGGCCTTCATATTTGCTGGTCAGATACTTGTTGGTTGCTATCCTGTACGCCTCCTGTGATGAGGTCTGGAGGCCCAACTTGTCGGCAGCTTCGCAGATGTAGACCCAAAAAGAATCTGCAAATGTGATTATGCCACCCACGGGCTTCCCGTAGGATTTGATTGACTCTAGAATGTGAGAAGCACAGTCCTCCTCAGGGGGATTCGTCAATTTTGTTGGTATGAAAGCTTCACACCAATGGGCATGTTCTGGCTCTTGGAGCAAGCTTCCCTCGTTATCCAACACAACTAGCTTAACCCCAAGCTTCTTTGCGGCATGGTATAATCCTGATCCAGTTCCTAGCTCCCCAGCATGCGAAATGTTCGCATCAACTAGCACAAGAGTCTTTTCTTGTATGAGTCCCGGGAGCACCCATGGGAATGACAGTCTGTTTTCAAGTTCTGACTCTGATGCGTGAGAAAGGGCCTCGATATCGTCTTCATTACTTGCAACAGGGCTGGCTCGTAGAAGGAGACCGGCTGCAGCGGCGGCGAAGAGCCTTGGTAGATCATAAATGTCTGACTCTGGTATCGCCAAACCTTTGTAGGTCTCAAGTGGAGCCGCAAAAGAGACGACCTTTTCGACATATTCAGAGTCCCAGAGACGCAAGGAAACTACATCTGATCTAGCTATATGTCCCTCTACCAGGGGTACTATGACCTTCGCCACTCGAAGGTTGCCGGAATCGTCTGTGGCATGAAGACATTCCAATAAGAATTGAAATGCGTCAGCAGATGCAAATGATGCTGACGAGAGGCTGGTTGTAGAAGGCTTGTTCCCAACTTGCGAGGCATGTGCGTCTACATCCACTTCCTTTTCGCCATTGGGCATAGAAGCACCAGTCTTCAACTTGAAAGCAATGTCTACCGACTGCCATAAACTTCCGGCAGACTGGGATTGTCGCACTTTGCAAGAATAGTCTGCAAGTATAATGCCTATTTGCACGCATTTATTTAGCGGGATTCTCCGAGGCAGGGGTACCGTACGCACTATGTTCCTCTCCGGACAAGACTTGGAGAGTCTTCCAACTATCCGTTGTATCAGACATATTTACTTCTTTCGACGATAATAGAATAGTAAATCGAGAGGGTAGCCTTATTCGGACGAGGACACATGTAACCTTTGGACATCACAAACGTTTAATCAGTACAACCGCATTTCCACGTAATTTAACCACGAGATTACAATGCCTCTTTCGTTCTTTTTCCTAATCAGGCAGAGATGTGCCAAGTACTGATTCATACAGTTGTGAAGGTATTCGGCAGACCTGGTGTAAACGTATCGCTTGTCGTGTAAGCCTCCGGAACCCGGTCGTCGTTTATCAGCCAATGGCCGTCGAAGGCAAATGACGCAAGAGCCTCCCCTGTCTTTGTATCACATTGGCTGCATACACGAAATTCCAGATTCAGAATGACAAAACAGAGCAGAAGCAGATCGGCCCGACGACCGTCTCCGAATTCAAAGGCGGAGCCCACGGCCACCGAACGCCCCTTGCATCCAGAACTTCGGTACGCGCCGAACTTTTGACCGAATCCTTGAGGGTTGGGAGATAAGCAAAATTGGTCTTTCGTATTGTCATGGATTTTCTCTGCCTGGAATGGGATCCTCATGCATCCCCTACCGGGAAATGAGACCACGCTGTAACCCTGGCTAGACTGGCTGTTTCCTGCTACTCCGTGGGGGTTCGTTGGTTAACGCCGATGTAGCTTTCATTGATTTGATATAGAATTTACGGTATTGTACATAGAAACTTTTAGAATCGATTGTATGACGTCTAGGCTACAGAAACTAGTGCTATGAAACCTATTGAGCTAATGTAGATTCTGCATGCCTACCATTTCAAAGTACTTTCCATGTTTTGCCATGAGTTGCTCATGGTTCCCCATTTCTATAACCATGCCATCTTGCAACACGCAGATAGTATGCGCATTCCGAACTGTGCTTAGTCGATGAGCAACCATGACCGTAGTGCGGCCCTTCATTATTGCGTTCATGGCCGTTTGAACGACGGCTTCGGATTCGGTGTCCAGTGCTGAAGTTGCTTCATCGAGCAGGAGGATCTTAGGGCTTCTGAGAAACGCGCGGGCAATGGAAATGCGCTGCTTCTGACCTCCGCTCAGCATGCTCCCTCCCATTCCGACGAGAGTTGATAGACCATCCCTGTTCATTGTCAGCAACTCATAATAATCAACATAGGATGGGGAAATGACGTACGGTAGCGACTCTATAAACTCGGCAATGTTGGCTTGCCTGCACGCTTCGAGAACGGCATCGTCACTGACCTCTTCCCAGGCCAGACCAATAGTAATATTTTCTCTGATAGTCCCTGAAAATATAATTGTTTCCTGACTTACGAGCGCAATGTTTCGACGGTACTCATCTATGTCTAGACTTTCAATGTTGTGACCGTCAACGATGATGCGTCCCTGATCTGGCTCATAAAATCGTTCAAGAAGCGAGATGCATGTACTTTTCCCGCTCCCACTCTGTCCTACGAGTGCTAGTGTCTGCCCGGGCTCTATGGTTATGCTGAAATTTTCCAGTACCCGCTTGTTGGGCCTTGACGGGTAAGAGAATCCAATTTTATCAAAGACAATATGACACGGTTTCGAGTCGTTTAAACTCGGTTTCTTCTCGGTAGGTTCAGGCGAAGCTTCAGCATGGGATTTATCTCTGGACTTTAACCCGATG